TTGTTTTCTGATGGTTTCTACTGCTTCAGAGATGGGTATGCAAGTGAAAAGAGAAGTCACATCATATGATACAAGGGTTTCTCCTGGGGTTAGTTTCAAATGTTGAACTTTGTTAGCAAAATTAATGGAGTTCTTTATGTGATGAGGTGTGTTTCCAACAAGAGGAGCTAAAATACCAGCCAGATGTTTAGCAACATTGTATGTCACTGAGTTAATACTGCTGACGATGGGTTTGAGTGGTGTTCCTTCTTTGTGTATTTTTGGAAGTCCATAAAGACAGGGAGTGTCTTCCCCTGGGTACAATCTATAATACAACGATTGATTGATTGTTTTCTCCTTTTCAAGTTTTTGCAGGTAATCTGTGACTTTCTTTTTGTAGGTGTTATTGCTAGTATCACTCAGCCCCCGGTGAATAGCAAAGAGCCATCAGGGTGCTAATGATCCATCGTTAGGCTGATGGTCCTCCTCGATCATGTGAGCAGCTCGTTTTGACTTAAGCAGCAAACTGGTTGATCCACTACAAGAAGGTGCTATTTCTAGTGCGTGTTCTAAAATTGCACCACTCAAGGTGGCTGCATGTTGGAGCAGCTCTGTTACTTTCATTCTGAGATTTTGCGTTTGGAAACTTTAATTCCTCTTTTTCTGGATGTAAATCACATTTTTTGGATGATTGTTTCCTTTGGTATCGGATGCTGTGCAGCTGGAAGGATTTTTACTGAAACTTTCTTAGTTTTGGACATTTGTTATGATGTGTAACCATGGCAACAAGGCAGTTTTCTACAACCAACAGCAGCTGATTAACATCTCAAAAGCTCAAATAATATCTCAGCTACAGCCCAAATCTCAAATGAGTTGAAAAGGATGTTCTGTGGACGCATTCTCATCTACCTGCCAGCTGTGCTCTAGTGCCTGATCACTGAGATCCTGAAACTAGTAGGAAACACGGCTCATGACAGCGGAAGGACAGGATCGTCCCTCAGCACCTACAATTGGCTGTCCGCAGCAACGAGGAGCTCGGCAGGCTTCTGGGAGGAGTGGCCATCGCTCTGGGAGGAGTTCTACCCAGCATTCAGGCGGTTCTACAGCCCGGGAGAACCGAGAGGCCAGCAGAGTCTGGGTGGACGGATCGGACGGCATCTGCAGCCAGTTTCTTAGGATTCACTGTGGGATAGACCTTTACAAGAGATCCTTCCTGCCTACAGCCATCAGCATCTACAAACTGGATTCCAAAAAAGTTGGGACACTAAACAAATTGTGAATAAAAACTGAATGCAATGATGTGGAGGTGCCAACATCTAATATTTTATTCAGAA